AGCCAAGGCCAGGGCCAGAGCTGTGGCTGGGAGCAGAGCCATGGAGTTGGGGGCAGAGCTGGAGCTGGGGGCAGAGCGGGGGTGGGTGGCGCTCCCTCCCTGCCCTCTGTGGAGGCTGGCCCAGGCCCTGCGGTGTCCCCCCTGAATGTTCCTCTGTGCGCCCATAGGGGGGTGTGCCCCACAGTTTGGGAACCAGTGATCTGGACAGATATTCTGGGACTGCTAGAGAGGGACTCAGCAAACTCGCCAGACTGGATCAGAGCCAAGATCCATCTAGTCCAGTGTCCCGTCTGTCTCCAGTGACACCCAGGGCCCTTTGATGGGGTGATGGAACCCAGCTGCCGCAGCCCACCCCAAGAGCATCCAGGAGAGCAGCGAGCTAGGAAAGACCAGCTTAAGCCGAGATGACCACCACCTCCGGCAAGCAAAATGCTGGGAAGCAAAGTGATCTTCTGGAACGACTTGAGAAGTGCTGGCAGGTGGAAGGGCTCCTGTGATCACCTTCAGTAGCTTTATTCCAGAGGGGTTTTTAAGGTGTGGGAGGTTCTTTTGTCAGCCGGGAGAGCTCCTCAGCTGAACTCGCATTAACATACAGTGGTAACCCCTAGGGCTGGCGGAGCGTGAGAAGGAGCAAGGAGGGTATCACTGACCAGGGCGGGGCAGGGCAGGGCACCTCACCTCTTTGTACCAGTGCTTGACCAGCCGCAGCAGGTTCTTGAGCTTGGCCGGGCGACGCTTAACGAAGTCCCTCTGCAGCTCGGTGAAGGAGGTGCAGAACTCACCAGGCCCGGCTCTGGCCCGAATCAGATCCTCATAGACCTGGGGAGAAGGTTTGCTGCCAGGAGTCACCTGCCCTGGAGGAGACAGTGGAGGGAGGGTCACCACACACAGATCTGAGGGGAGTCCAGTCCCAATGGGCCTTGAGCTATTGCTGTGTCCCATACATAGGCTGCACCCTCATTCCCATGAGCTCTCTCAGGATAAGCCCTGGGGCCATGAGGCCATTGAGGGGGGGTGGGTACCCCCAAACCTGCTGGATCCCTGAAGGCCGAGCTGAGGGGCAGGGATACAGTTGCTACCTAAGGCATCGTAGGCCGGGAGCACGTCCACCTCGATGGATTCCCATCGCTTCTTTGACTGGATGGTGATGGAGAGCGAGCGCGGGCAGGTGCCCTTCTCCTTCGGCTGGGAAACCTCCATGTCAACGCTGAAGGCGATGGTCTGTCGGCACCGGTTCAGCTTCTGCTTGACAGTGTCAAGCACAGCCGCACGGTTCTCCATCTGGTCCTGGTAGCTGGAGAAGCAGCTGAGGAAAAGGACCAGATCCGCATCCGAATTGTTC